GCCCCCTCCCACACTCGGCTTCATCCCCACCACATGAATTTTGTTATGTTCACCAATAGGAAGGTGATGTGTCACATCCCCATGTGGTGGGGATGAAGCCGAGTGTGGGAGGGGGCTCAGAGCGGGGCACAGGGTTGGGCTGCAGGGGTGTGAGGGCTCTGACTGGGGGTGTGAGGGCTCTGAGGTTGGGCTGGGGATGAGGGGCTCAGGGCTGGGGCAGAAGGTTGGGGTGTGGGCTCTGGAGTGGGGCCAGGCCAGAGATGAGGGGTTTGGGGTACAGGAGGGTGCTCTGGGGCTATGGTAGGGAGAGAGGGCTCCCCAGAACTCTCGCTCCCCAGGGCAGCAGCAGTAGCAGTAGCTGGGCTGGGCTGGGTTGGGGGAGAGGTTCCTCTCCCCATCACGGCAGCTCCAGGGCTGGGGTCGTGGGATAGGTGCCCTGGCTGTGGTAGGTCCCGGCTGGGGCTGGGTTTGGGCCAGGGGAGGGGCGCTCCTCCCTCGGCCGTGGCAGGTCCAGGGCTAAGTTGTGGCCGAGGGAAGGGTGCCCCAGCTGCGGCAGGTCTGGGCGGCTGCTGGGTTTGGACTGCCCCTCCCCCAGCTGTGGCAGGTCTGGGGCTGGGTTGGGGCCAGGGGAGGGGTGCCCTTGCCAGGGCAGGTCCAGGCCGTGTGGGTTGCCTGAGTGCCTGCATGGTGCTAAATAGGCTTCTGCATGGTCACACTGTTTACAGAGAACTTAGTTTCAGGATAAATTATTTATTTAACAAGCAATAGCACAGTACTGATGCTGCTGTAATCTAGCCTTGTTGGAGAAAAAAGGTGGGTGAGAGAACTTTTACTGAACCAACTTCTGTTGGTGAGAGACAAGCTTTCAAGCTTACACAGAGCTCTTCAGGTCTGGGAAACTAACTTTGAGTCATAACTAAATACAAAGGGGAACAGATTGTTAAGCATAAATAGTTAAGACATAATTCAACGGACTGTGCTGGTTGTGTTTGGACTTTTCTCTGAGACCTTTTCCGTTCTGTTTCCAATAAATGAGCTTGAATCTGGGCTTGTCAGTTTTAAAAACACATCAGTGACATACAGCAAAATTACTCTGAGACGATCGAGCTCAAATGCAGTGGGGTGGGTATAGGGATTTACCACAACTCTGAAACATTAATTTTATATATAGACTAACATGTGCATACTACATAAATTCTAAACTGTCCACAAGCTACAAAATACACTAGTAACAAAGCTGCAGCTGCAAACTTATCACACATTCCTTTTTAAAATTATTTTTTTATTTATTTAGATAATTTTTTTTACATCTAACTACATGTTGTTTACAAGGCCACTTGTGAATTCATGCTTTGTGCATTGTTAACCTCTTTTTCCTTACTTCTGTTTTCTTTCTTGTTCATACAAGGCCTACAGTTGTATTCTTGGTTTCCAGATCTGTGTCTGCTGGAGAAGCCGTGACAATCAACAGGAAATATGGCAATGCATAGTGTCTTGCAAGACCCTGGCAACTATAAATTTCCTGCTGCTGGAGCTTAACCCTGTAACTCCTTTCAGGAGTGTGTTTGTGGGACACTAGATGAAAGATTTTTTTTTTTTGGCAACAGTACTCATTTTTTAAGAGTATTGCTGTATTTATTCCTAGAAAGACCTGTTTTAATTATAGTACATCGATGTGCAGAGATTTATGTCATGTATATTAGTGCCTTTGTCTTTTAGTTTTACAGCAATGATTTCAATTCCTGCTTTTGGTTCCAGGTTATGATTAATTTAGTGTGTTTATTTTTTCAGTCTGTCATGTTTTGGCTTGGTTAAAGAGAGGTTCTAGCAGTAGGGATCATGTAAGAGAGGATGGAGCTACATTTATTATTTGAGAAACCTTGCATAATATTGACCTTAACTTGCGAGTTTTAAGACTATGCAGATGCAGGAGTGGGTGGAGGAGAGCAACCAAGCTAATGGCAGGGAACTCAATCCCATAGCAAAGAACTTCAGCAAACAAATCATTACTGTTTACTCTTGATATTAGGTCTGTGTAACAGGATGGTCTGTCCTTTTATGGGTCAGGGAGGCTGGGGAGCAGACAGCCCTGTTCTAGCAAGGAGCTTGGAAGGCAGATAATGGGAATCATCCAACTTAGCTGGGCAGCATCAAGGGACTGGTGACTTCCAGCTAAGGAATATAAATGAGGGCCTGAGCTCCAGGTGGGAGCCTGGGATCAGAAGAGGTCTGAGAGAAGACTCCTGGAATTGCAGCTGGGGACAGCAAGGTGGACCTACATGAGCTGAGTGGAGGTTCTGACCAAAAAGTTGCTGAAGGCCAGTGGGCTTTGGGGCTGGTTTGAGACTGGTTTTGTTACTTTATGTTGTCACTCCATGTTTCCTTTTGTTGAACAATGAACAGAGCTCTGAGACGACGACTGTGAACAGATCTGAGCACTGCTGATTGTCTTTCCTATGCCAGTGATTGAGTCCATCAGCTTACATCCCCTTTCTTAGCTTCTCTCCCCTCCCTTTCCACATTGCGGCTTCTAATTCTTGGTCCTTAGTCTGTCAAAACATGTCAGAAGTGCCTCCTCTGAGGAGCAACCAATAATCAGAAGCCTCATGTGTGATACAAATTAACTAGGGACATCCCTCAAAATTGGGGCCTTACCTGACCAGGGGCCATGAGTAGAGCCTTGTGAATCTGCGGATATCAATGGATGCATGTTTGCAGACCACGGACGGATGCGAATCCAAATTTTGTATGTATACAGGGCTCTACCCATAAAGCTTGCCCTGATAGCAGCACACTTCTAGTACTGTTATATTTAAAGGAAAATGTTGGTTTGACTAGAAATAATGTTGCTAAAATGAGCATATATAATCCAGGGGAAAATATGGCAGTGTATTATGATATTATTCTTTCCTTAGTCCTGACCCAGCAAAGCATTTAAGCACATTAATATTCTACAAAACTGCAAGATGTGTATGTGTATTTTTATGAGTGTCCCTATATTAAAAATCCCATAAAAATAGGCCCAATGCAGCCCCGAGGAACAGCGTAACTCCCTTTAATATTGCCTGGGATGTAAAAAAGCAAAGAATTTGGCCATATATGTTTGTTTCACTGATAGTGTGTAAATTACAGCTTCTGAAATAAATATAATTAAGAGCTGTACAATGAAAAGTCAGAAGTGATTTAAAAAAAAAGGTTGCCAACCCTGTTCATATACACTGTACCAAACTAGAATGCTACATCGTAAAACCTTGTTTTTCTCAGAGAGTTAAACCCATTGCTTTAAAGATTAGTGATACTCACAGTGTTCTCCTGTAACAAAGCCTCTTCTGCCTTCTGACGATCAAATTCTCCAGTATACCAGTCATATTTATTTAAATCCTGAAATTTGAGATGTTATGCATAGTATATAGAAATGAAGTACAGTTTTCAGAAGCAAAAGCCAATGAAAATATACTGAATAGATACAGACTGATTTTCTGACTTCTTGTTAGCCAGTGTGGTGAAACAGAAGTTTACTTTTGTTGCTGGTCTGGTATGTCTTATGGATGAATAACAACCAATTTTGAGGTGTGTCTGCTCTGTTTCTCAACAGTTTGTCTTGAATTTGGTATTCTCAGTTGTGACCCACGGAGATACAGTGACAGGACTAACCTGAATATTGCTGTGATTCTTGGTGTAAGCCACCTGTTACAAAGGTATGCTCACCTGGGCGGCAAGATAGATTTGAGTACCTGAAGGGACTCTCTGTGACTCCATATTTAGGCTATTATAACACCTGTGGAGTTTATACTTCGATTATTGATTGGTGAAATCTAAGTATAGAATTCACAACCAATTTGCAGGTTGTTCCCCGATTCTTAACAGTCTGCCCTGAGGTTGGTATTCATGCTTATGAGTCACTGCAAGCAGCATTACACCAAGCACCCACAGTTTCCAGGCCACTTAGGTGCCTAGCTAGAGTTAGTATGCAACTATTGTGAATATGTCAGTGTGTACACATACAGAATATACAGTGTTGAAATCTTTTTGCTGTGTGTTTGTACAGCAACCAGCACAATAGGGCCATGGTCTATAACTGGGGCACCATGGTAATACAAATAATATATACTACTACAACTACATCTCTTTGGTAAGAAATTGACTCTTTAATGTATCAGAGGGTTGTTTACCTTTTCAACAGGCTTCGTAAGATGCAGTGTTGGCAGGTTTACATATATACCTTGTGATCTACATTCAGAAGGCTTGTGCTTTCCTGGAGATGGTGACCTCTCAATTGAACAGTTTTGTATGTTTAATCTGGATCCTGTAAACATAAATTAATGGGAGAAAAACCATGTTGTTCTGTACTTCAACCATCATGTCATTTTGCCAGCATATGTGCCTTATTGAAAATACCTTAAAGTGTAGTGTTTCTTATTTGAAAATGCAGTTTTGTGATAACATTTAAAAATAAAGGGGCCTGATTCTGATCTGGGTGATACGGCTATAACTCCACTGATTTCAGAATCAGGCCCAATGGCATTTTCCAAGGATTCCTTTTTACTTCACTCAACGTTCCTGCACAATGAAAGTCACTTGCAAATATTAAATATGTACTACTTATTTACAACATAATTTCTAAGGGCCCCAGGGTCAAAATAGTGCTTTAGCAGAACATATTTATGACTATCTACGTGCTATAAGGGTAACAAAACCTTTTACCACATTTTATACTTCCATGGATCTATGTTTGTAGCCTTAGCAATGCTTGGTCTGGGGTACATTAGAGCCATTCACAATCCCACCATTTGGGGATACCACTTCTGTCCACCTATCCACAGGAATCTCTAAATGTTCAGGATCTCTGCTGCTCTACTTAACATGGGTCTTCCCAATTAAGTCTATGAGCTTTGGCTCCGGCCCTGTAGTCTGAGTTCAGAGAAGTAACGTCTGCTACTTGTCGCACACCTGGAAGGTGTGAAAAGCAGTCATACATTTCTAATTTTTGCTAGTCAGACAATACTTAATGTACAGATAATATTGGAATAAAACTGGATTATTGTAACAATATTTAAAAGCATATCATGAGCATGTCATTTATGTAACAGAATATTTTTTGTTTTGAAAAATGAAATGTGGAAAGGGGTACAATAAATGATTATAAGGCAGGAAAAGAAAAATGTGATTATCTAGATATTCCATCTTTTCTTTCTGGGGTCTATTACATGGGCCTGCTCTGTTTACCCAAGCTGTATTTCATTATATTTTATCTCTTTCTTGCACTATCAGTTTATTACTGTTCTGACCATATTGCATGCTGGAATAATGAAGACACCCAATCTTGAAAACAAGTTATTTGACAGAAAAGTAATAGTTTTCATGTGTTTAAAATTAATGCATTTTTTTGTGCAGGTATGTACCACATTCTGGCTTCTAACAGTATAAAATTTATTTTTAAAGACATGAAACAATGCCTATTGAAGTCAGTCGGAAGTCTCCTATTGTCTACACTGGGCATTGGATCAGTTCCTAAATGAAGGCTGTGAGCCAAATGTTTAAAAGGTCTGGAACCAGGCCTATAATTTTGTGTCTGCAATCAATTGTGTGTGTCAAATTGTGCTATGTCTACATATCCAGTTTGCAGCTGCAAATCAGGTCACTAGATACCAAAGCTCTATCATTTGCATCCACAGTTGATTGCAGGTACAGAACTAGTTGCTGCTTTCGGGGGGGGGGAAGACAGCCCTATACGCAAGATTTCGTATGCACTATATTGAATTTATTGCTGTAAAGTCTCCTGCTTTGTGTGGAACTGTAGTGCAGCAGCCTGGAAATTCTGTTGCAGTCTTGGTATTTTTTTTTAAATGGAGATTTTGATTGATTTAAATATAATAATTAGAGCTGCTATTAAAAATAATTGTTTTTAAAATTTTTTGTTTAATTTTTTATTTTCCTACAAGAAAAGTTTGGTTTTTGACCCAAAAATGCCTTCCAAAATCCTTGAAAAAAGTTCATTTTTTTTATTAACACCTGGAAAATTTCAACCAAAATGACATTTTCCATAGGAGTTTGGTGCCTAACCTACTTAGTTAGGTGCTTTTTGAAAATCCCACTAAGGTCCAGATTTTTAAAGGTATTCAGGCACCTAGAGAAATCAATGAGAGTTAGTTATTTGGGAGTTTTTGAAAATTCGCTTAGATGCTTGTCTGCATCTTTAGATACGTAAATACCTTTAAAAACTTGGCTCTTAGGTCTGTTGGAAATGGAACTTAAGAGCCTAAGTCACTTAGCACTTCCGAAAATTTGACCACAGATCTAATAAAATACATGAAATCATTGAATTTTTTTCTGGTGATGTTTATTTTTATAGTAACTTTATCTTATGCAGCCCCTAAATTCAGTGTGACTCAGATTTTTGTGTTGGCAATACATCAATGCATTTGCAAAAGTAGTCAAGGGAGAAGATAAAGGTTTTAGTAGCTGGGTAGAGATAAGCTGAAGCATTCATCACCAGGCCCACTTCCTGCAAAACACAAGAACTGACTGAGCCCTACCCTGCCTAACTTGAGAAATCTGATAACAAAAGCTTGTTTGCCTGGTGCAATATTAATGCAATAAAAAGCTCTGTTAATAAAAAAACAAAAAACAAAAAAAATTAAAGCCACTCCATTCTTATTTATAAGTAATCTATCTTCTGGTTCTTATACGTTAACACAAAGACTGTTCATACATCAACCTGTACATGTAGAGGCAATACAAGAAGATATTCCCTTTAGCAGGTGTTTGTGCCTGAAAGACATCTTGTCTACATTCAACTAATTACAAACTGATAGTAAAGTCTTCTGCTTAAGACAGTAGGGGGCTCATTGTTTTATAACCAACCCTGGAGAGTAGGTGATAACAATAACCCTGCTCACATTCTAGCTAGCTGCCTAATTAGATAAATATATGGCTCCGATCGCCATAATATCTGACTGCTTTTCTACAGTTGAAAGAAAGAGATTTTGTTCTTTCTTCCTTGCCTGTGCTAAGGTTGGTTAGTAGAGGGTTTTTGTGTTTTTTAGTGTGTGTGGTATTATGGGAACATTACTGTAAACAACAATACGTACTAACCAATACTTAGGGGTAAAATTTTGGGGTCACATAAAAATTGGTCTTCATTTTACCAACACAGATTATCCAAGGGTGATAGTGGACAGCAGGTTTGACATGTTTGTAGTGTGATTTGGCAGTAAAAAGGCCAGTGCTGCTTTTAGCAGCATATGAAGAAACCTCATTTTCTGATTGGAGAGATGAGTATTTCTCTGTGTGTGTGACTCTGAGGAGACTGCTCTTGAATGATGCATTCACTGCTGGTAATCAGAACCAGAAAGATGCAGACAAAATGAATAGAACTGAACAAAGCTGTCAGTTACTGGACCAGCCACACATTAGACCACTCTTTATCCCTCTTGGGTGTACCCCTCAGTCCACCACTTAGACTGGAACTCTGGGTCTCCCTGTTCCCCAGCCATGTTAGCTGAACAAAGGCAGTTCGGGCTCCAGTTCCAGCAGCTGACACTCCAGGCTAGGATTCAGCAGCAGCTGAGCAATTTACTCAGCCCTGCATGAGTTTGCAAGCTTGTCCCCCTCTGGGCAGGGGTGGATGGATAGGTGTAAACAGTGTCCCCCCCTCCTGGCCGGGGGGGAAGAGGGGGTAAAAAGATTACATCCCCCTCCCGGTGGGGGAGGGGAAAGGGGTGAAAGCTGCACAGACCCCAGCACTGCTCCGGCTCTGTTGTCTCTGGCTGCCTTGGGCTGGCTGCCCCAGCGTTTTGCTGTAAGTGGCTGCCCCATTGGGGGGCAGGCAGTCCAGATGTGCCTACCTTTAAGATGCAATATAGGCACAGTACAGTACTTGCTTTTTTTTTTTCCTTAAATCTCTGTTGATGCCTGATTGGTTACTTCTGGTTTCACATGGTGTCCGGTTGACTGGTCAGTCCGTAACTCTGGTGTTTGTATCTTTGTGGTTTTATGTATTTCCCCTTGCCTACACTTTAATCTTTCTTTAAAAGCATCTGTTAGTTCCCCTCAGCCCAGCTAACCCCCATCTGTGGCTGGGAGAAGCAGACTGTACTGCTTTCATCACACTCTCTGTCTTTGTGTGTTGCCTTGTATGACTGTCATCTCTCACTGATGTTCCCTGGGGTACCTGAGGGTACGTCTATACTACCTGCCGGATCGGTGGGTAGTGTTCGATGTATCAGGGATCGATTTACCGCGTCTCGTCTGGACGCGATAAATCGATCTGCGAATCGATGCCTGTACTCCACCTCAGCAGGAGGAGTAAGCGGAGTTGATGGGGGAGCCGCGGCAGTCGACTCGCCACCATGAGGACGGCCAGGTAAGTCGAACTAAGATACTTCGACTTCATTTCACGTAGCTGAAGTTGCGTATCTTAGTTCGAACCCCCCCACTAGTGTAGCCCAGGCCTGAGTTATCTTATCCACACTTTCTCCTTTTTGTAGGCCCAGAGCCATGTAATGTTTTAGCATCTCCTTTGTCCTGAGCTTAGTGTGGGAAAGAGTAAGCTTTTTTTTTCACCTGGATAAAGCCATGTAGAGTAAGCTTTTTTTTTTCACCTGGATAAAGCCATGTAGGGGGGAATTCCCAATTAAACAGGTTCCCTACTGTTTCCCCAAGGACTCGTATGTGTGCCACTGTTTTACTTTAATAACCCTTTTTGATCTAACTCCATAGCAAGTAACTCATCATCAACAAACACACAGGCATACATTGTATTAATCAAAAATAATACAACTATTTCCTAGTTCATCATAGAAGTATTTGCACATATATTTGTGACATTAGGACTTATCCATTCCTATTTTACAGGGTTTTTTTGTATGGAATCTTAGGATTCTTACCTGAGCCTTGAAAACTTTTACTACTCAGCATACAAGGGGAGCTAGGAGAAAGTAGTAAATAATGTTAAGTAAGTGCAAATACTCACTCTGTTATTGATTGTGATATTGCATATATGCAAAGACAAAAATATGGAAAGTCTAAATGCCATTGAGTTCCATCAGGGATGAATTTGTATCAAAATAATCTGTTAAACATTAAGAATGAAGACAAGGAAAGTGTGAGATGAATGTAGCATAAAAATGTATAAGTTTGAGCTCTAATGACTACAAAGGGAAATAGTGTTAAAGGTTGGTGCATAGGAACCACAGTCATAGAATCATAGGACTGGAAGGGATCTCAGTAGATCATCTAAATAAATCAGTGGAGACATCCTACCTCCTAGAACTGGAAGGGACCTTGAAAGGTCATAGAGTCCAGCCCCCTGCCTTCACTAGCGGGACCAAATACTGATTTTGCCCCAGATCCCTAAGTGGCCCCCTCAAGGGCTGAACTCACAACTCTGGGTTTAGCAGGCTAATGATCAAGCACTGAGCTATCCCTCCCCCCTAGTCCAGTCCCCTGCATGCAAGGCAGAACTATTCCTGACAAGGGTTTATCTAAACTATTCATAAAAATCTTTTATGAGGGAGACTCCCTAGGCAATTTATTCCAGTACCTAACTACCGTGAGAGTTAGAAAGTTTTTCCGAATGACTAACCTAAACGTCCCTTGCTGCAATTTAAGCCCATTGCATCTTGTCCTATCCTCTGAGGTTAACTAGAACAATTTTCACCCTCCTCCTTGCAACAACCTTTGTATTTGAAAACTGTTATGTCCCCCCTCAATCTTTTCTTCTCCAGACTAAACAAAACCAATTTTTTCAATCTTCCCTCATAGGTTATGTTTTCTAGACTTTAATAATTTTTGTTGCTCTTTTCTGGTCTTTCTCCAATTTGTTCGCATCTTTTCTGAAATGTGGCTCCCAAACCTGGACACAATATTTCAGTTGAGGCTTTATCAGCGTGGAGTAGAGTGGAAGAATTACTTCTTGTGTCTTGCTTACAGCACTCCCGATACATCCCAGAATTATGTTCACTTTTTTGGTAACAGTTTTACAGTGTGGACTCATTTAGTTTTTGATCCACTATAACCCTCAGACCTCTTTCTGTAGTACTCCTTCCTACGCAGTCATTTCCCATTTTGTGTGTGCGCAATTGATTTGTTCCTTCCTAAATGGAGTACTTTGCATGTGTCCTTATTGAATTTCTTCCTATTTACTTCAGACCATTTCCCCAGTTTGTCCAGATCATTTTGAGTTTTAATCCTATCCTCCAAAGCACGAGCAACCTCTCCCAGCTTGGTATCATCCACAAACTTTCTAAATCCTGGTCTACACTACGAGTTTAGGTCGAATTTAGCAGCGTTAGTTTGATTTAACCCTGCACCCATCCACACAACTAAGCCATTTTTGTCGACTTAAAGGGCTCTTAAAATTGATTTCTGTACTCCTTTCTGACGAGGGGATTAGGCTGAAATTGACATCGTTGGGTCGAATTTGGGGTAGTGTGGACGGAATTTGATGGTATTAGACTCTGGGAACTATCTGGGAACTATCCCAGAGTGCTCCATTGTGACCGCTCTGGACAGCACTTTCAACTCAGATGCACCGTCAGGTACACAACAAAAGCCCCTGGAACTTTTGAATTTAATTTCCTGTTTAGCTAGCGTGGTGACCATGCAGCACAGGTGACCATGCAGTCCCAGAATCGCAAAAGAGCTCCAGCATGGACTGAACGGGAGGTACTGGATCTGATTGCTGTTTGGGGAGATGAATGCATGCTATCAGAACTCCATTCCAAAAGACGAAATGCCAAAATATTTGAAAAAATCTCCAAGGGCGTGATGGACAGAGGCTACAACAGGGACCCACAGCAGTGCCGCATGAAAATTAAGGAGCTCAGGCAAGCCTACCAAAAAACCAAAGAGGCAAATGGCCACTCCGGGTCAGAGCCCCAGACATGCCGTTTCTATGATGAGCTGCATACAATTCTAGGCGGGTACCCCACCACGACCCCACTCCTGTCCGTGGACACCTGCAAGGGGGAGTCTCATGCAACAGGGATGAGGATTTTGGGGACAAGGAAGATTAGGAGGTGAAGGAGGATAGTGCACAGCACACAAGCGGAGAAACCATTCTCCCCAATAGCTAGGAACTATTGTTTATCACCCTGGAGCCAATACCCTCCCAAGGTGGACTCACGGACCATGAAGCTGGAAAAGGTACCTCTGGTGAGTGTACCTTTGTAAATATAATGCATGGTTTAAAAGTAAGCGTGTTTAATGATTAATTTGCTCTGAAGATTTGGGATGCATTCATGGCCAGTACAGCCCCTCGTTTTAAATGGCCAACCCAACGGGTGCTTGGTATGGGAAAGGAGGGTGCTGCTGTTTGAAACCATTCCCACATGTTACGAAGGTTGAAGAAGCTGAAAGACTGTGGCTTACCATGGCTGCCTGCAAGCCGAATTCTGTTGCCTGGCCCTGCGAGTGTGATCTCTCACACCAAACTGGCAGGCCCGTAATATAAGAGGCAAAATGCGACCTTGTACCGAAAGCACATGTGCTATGTAATGTTAACAGCTTGGTTCACTGTGAAAGAGTCTACCCATTGTTCTCTAAAATGTGTCTTTTTAAATACTACTCTCCCTTTTTTTCCTCCCGCAGCTGCAAATGTTTCAATACTCCCCCTATCATCTCTGTCCCAGAGGCTAGCGCAGATGAGAAGGTGAAAAAAGCACACTCGCGATGAAATGTTCTCTGAGCTCATGCAGTCCTCCCGCACTGAAAGAGCTCAGCAGAATGCCTGGAGGCAAACAATGTCAGAGTCCAGGAAAGCAGAAAATGAACGTGAGGACAGGAGGGACGAACGAAATGAGAGGTGGTGGGAGCAAGATGAGAGATGGCAGCAGTGCGATGAGAGGAGGCAGAATGCAATGCTGAGGCTACTGGGGGATCAAAGTGATATGCTCTGGCATGTGGTGAAGCTGCAGCAAAGGCAGCAGGAGCACAGACCACTGCTGCTGCCCCTGTGTAACCGCCCACCCTCCTCCCCAAGTTCCATAGCCTCCTCACCCAGATGCCCAAGAACGTGGGGAGGGGGGAACCTCCAGGCACACAACCACTCCACCCCAGAGGACTGCCCAAGCAACAGAAGGCTGGCATTCAATAAGTTTTGAAATGCAGTGTGGCCTTGTCCTTTCCTCCTCCCCTCATCCGCCACCCCACCCGGTGCTTCCTTCCTCCCCTACCCCTCCCGGGCTACCTTGGCAGTTATCCCCCTATTTGTGTTATGAATTAATAAAGAATGCATGATTTTGAAACAATAATGACTTTATTGCCTCTGCAAGCAGTGATCGAAGGGGGGGAGGGCGGTTGGCTTACAGGGAAGTAGAGTGAAACAAGGGGGCAGGTTTTCATCAAGGAGAAACAAACAAAACTGTCACATCGTAGCCAGGTCAGTCATGAAACTGGTTTTCAAAGCTTCTCTGATGCGCAGCGCACCTGCTGTGCTCTTCTAATTGCCCTGGAGTCTGGCTGTGCGTAATGAGGGGCCAGCCGATTTCAACCTCCCACCCCGCCATAAACATCTCCCCCTTACTCTCACAGATATTGTGGAGCACACAGCAAGCGGCAATAACAATTGGAATATTGGTTTCGCTGAGTCTAACTGAGTCAGTAAACTGCACCAGCGCACTTTTAAATATCCAAATGCACATTCTACCACCATTCCGCACTTGCTCAGCCTATAGTTGAACAGCTCCTTACTACTGTCCAGGATGCCTGTGTATGGCTTCATGAGCCATGACATTAAGGGGTAGGCTGGGTCCCCAAGGATAACTATAGGCATTTCAACGTCCTCAACAGTTATTTTCTGGTCTGGGAAGTAAGTCCCTTCCTGCAGCTGTTCAAACAGACCAGAGTTCCTGAAGATGCAAGTGTCATGTATCTTTCCTGGCCATCCCACGTTGATGTCGGTTAAACATCCTTTGTGATCCACCAGTGCTTGCAGCACCATTGAAAAGTACCCCTTGCGGTTTATGTACTGGCTGCCAAGGTGGTCCGGGCCCAAGATAGGAATATGTGTTCCGTCTATCGCCCCACCACAGTTAGGGAATCCCATTGCAGCAAAGCCATTCGCTATGACCTGCACATTTCCCAGAGTCACTACCCTTGATAGCAGAAGCTCAGTGATTGCATTGGCTACTTGGATCACAGCTGCCCCAAAGTAGATTTACCCACTCCAAATTGATTCCTGACTGACCAGTAGCTGTCTGGCATTGCAAGCTTCCAGAGGGCTATCGCCACTCGCTTCTCAACTGTGAAGGCTGCTCTCATCTTGGTATTCTTGCACGTCAGGGCAGGAGAAAGCAAGTCACAAAGTTCCATGAAAGTGCCCTTACGCATGCGAAAGTTTCGCAGCCACTGGGAATCATCCCAGACCCGCAACACTATGTGGTCCCAACAGTCTGTGCTTGTTTCCTGGGCCCAGAATCGGTGTTCCACAGCATGAACCTCCCCCATTACCACCATGATGTCCAAATTGCCAAGGCCTGTGCTTTGAGAGAAGTTGGTGTCCATGTCCTCATCACTATCGTGATTGCGCTGTTGTCGCTTCCTCACCTGCTTTTGCAGGTTCTGGTTCTGCACATACTGCAGGATAATGCGCGAGGTGTTTACAATGCTCACAACACAAGGTGAGCTGAGTGGGCTCCATGCTTGCTGTGGTATGGCGTCAGCAGGAGAGCCGAGTTGCAGTGGAAGCAGTGGATGACGACAGGATGCCACAAGAATAGATATTTATAAAGAATGACGAGAGGACCTGCAAGGTGGATTCATGGCACAGGAGAGCAGAGTTGCAGCGGAAGTGGTGGTTGGATGATGACGGTTAGCAGTCCTACTGCACCGTCTGCTGAAAGCAGTATGGCATCTGCACAGAAAAAAGGGCGCGAAACGATTGTCTGCCTTTGCTTTCACGGAGGGAGGGGCGACTGACGACATGTACCCAAAATCACCCGCGACAATGTTTTTGCCCCATCAGGCATTGGGAACTCAACTCAGACTTCCAATGAGCAGCGGAGACTGCGGGAACTGTGGGATAACTACCCACAGTGCAACGCTCCGAAAGTCGACGCTAGCCACGGTACTCCGCTGATTTAATGCACTTAGTGGGGACACACACAATTGACTGTATAAAATCGCTTCCTAAAAATCGACTTCTATACATTCAACCTAATTTCATAGTGTAGACATACCCTAAGTGTACTCTTCTCTGCCATTATCTAAATCATGTTTATCTAGATATTGAACTGAACCAGATCCAGACCAATCCCTGCCAGATGCCATTCTATATGCCCTTGGTGCTTGACTGTGAATCATTGATGATTACTCTCTGGGAATGTTTTTCCAACCAGGTACGTACCCACCTTATATTAGCTCCATCTACATTATATTTCCCTAATTTGTTTATGAGATGGTCATTTGAGACAGTATCAAAAGCCTTACTAAAATCGAGATATATCACATCTTCTGCTTCCCCCCTTCCACATGTCTTGTTACCCTGTCAAAGAAAGCTATTAGGTTGGTTTGACATGATTTGTTCTTGACAATGATTTTATAGATATATTAGAGACAGAGACTGCTCACAAATAAATACCAGTATTAGAAAAGTGGAAGACTCATCACATCAGAATTTTTTTATTGTGATGCATGGCTAAAAAGGGTTAAACATCCTGTAAAATAAACAACCCTCAAAAGACATGTGGGGAGATAATGTTTTTGTGTATTTACATATATATGAGTTGGGTGAACAATGTAATCAACAGTCCCTCTCTATGCTATATTCTGATAATTCAGAGATCAAAAGAATAGCCTAGCATTTAAATGAATTGTAAACACGGAATATCTCTGTATTCATCTCTCTTTGAAATGTATAGCAAAAAATCTGTGAATGGTGGAGGAACAAGCAAATTGCCTTATGTTAATTCTGTAGCTAAGTACCAGTGGTGGACCTCCTTCAAAGTCATCCTCATTGCCTTTTGTTCCCAGAGGAACTCCCAACTTGTCAAAGAGGGCATGAAATTGTATAAAAGGTCCTTGGGTCCTGATTCTGTCATCTCAGATCTGCTTAGGCTTCATCAGGGGAAGTTTTGAGGCGCAAGACTGAGGTCCCAGTTGTGCTGGTACGCCCTGAATATGGTATTTGGACATTGGACTATAACCTATGAACTATTTCTAAAAGAACTCTTTGCAACTGCAAAGCTCCTCATCTCTGCTATGAATCTGAATCTTAAGAATTGAACTCATGTCTGTATGTATATTGATCTTTCAACCATACTCTCTTTTGTTTTTTAATAAATTTTAGTTTAGTTAATAAGATTTGGCTGTAGCTTGTATTTGGGTAAGATCTGAAACATTCATTAACCTGGGAGGTAATGTGTCTGATCCTTTGGGATTGGTAGAACCTTTTCTTTTATATGATGAAATAAGATGATCAGGAATCTTCATCATATTTGCCTTAGGTACCTGGATGGAGGCCTGAGGCTAGATCACTTTAAGGGACTGTGTTATTGGACTTCTGAGTAATCAGTAAGGTAATAAAGAAGCTGTTTTATGCTGCCTTGGTAAATCTAAGTATTGGAATATTCACCAGCTTTTGGGGGATTGTCTGCCACATTCTTTGCAGTTCATGCTAACTGAATGATCATAGCTGGCCCCCATTGGGACCCGGGTCACAGTATGCTGTATAAATATATTAGAGTCAGAGACTGCTCACAAGTAAATACCATGTATTAGAAAAGCAGAAGACTCATCGCTTCAGAATTTTTTTATAAAAAACAGATTGGCTAAAGCAATAAAAACTATACTAGAGGGAACAACTCTGCACTGTAATTGGTAGATAACAGGGCCGCATTCAAAGCCTGTTTAATGGTAATCTCTTTAGATCATGTCCTAAATTTGGTAATAATAATATAGAATCATAGAAATGCCAGACTGGAAGGGACCTTGATAGGTCATCTAGTTCTATCCCCTGCACTGAGGAAGGACTAAGTATTATCTAGACAAGTAGTTCTCAACCTATTTACCATTGTGGGCCACATATGCAGCTCTCTCTGTTATGTGGGCTGCATCCACGCAATATATATACTACCTGTATTGCCCTGAAAATGTCACATGGGCCTCAGCTTTGTGCTGATTGGGCCACAAATGGTCTATGGGTTGAGAACCACTGATCTAGACCATCCCTGACACATAGGTAACTTGTTCTGGTGCTTTAATTATCCTTACAGTTAGGGAGTTTTTCCCCATGTCTTGCCTAAATCTTCCTTGCTGCAATTTAAGCCCATTACTACTTGTCCTGTCCTCAGCAGATAAGGAGAACAGTTTATCACCCTCCTCTTTACAACTTTTTACACACTTGAAGAGTGTTATCATATACTTCTTCAGTCTTCTCTTCTCTAAAGAAATGCATATTTTTAATCTTTCCTCATAGGTTATGTTTTCTAGACCTTTAGTCATTTTTGTTGTTCTCCTCTCTATATGTGATAGGTGGTTATTTCAGTTTGCAGGGGTTCATAAAACTTTTCCATCAGTTTTTGCTTCTTATGGATTCACATCCCCTGACTTTTGCTCTGAGTTTTAGGTTTGAATCATCTCAAATACAAAGTGCAACTCAATCAAGTTTCACTTGGATTCACACAGGTCACAAGGGTGACTCTGTATCAAGCAAAAGAAAATCACAGCTTGATTTTTCAGAAATCATGTTAAGCTTGAATTTTTGGCAGGTAAAGTCACTGTGCCAAATTCAATCCTAATGTAAACAACCTCCGTGGCATCATTGAGGGAGGAATACCTGTGTAATACAGGGGAAAAACATTATGGACTCACATACCTCTGCATGATTGTATTTTAGGGAACCACAGCATGCATCTCTGAACAGGAACATTTCCTTAAACCAACATTTGTGCACTAGTCAAGGTTTCCCATGGGATTTTTGGCTTAAAATGGTTTTACTCTTTTGTATCCTGAATTTTAGCCAGAAATCTCAAATAGCGCTATTGAAATCATATGCTAATGTGTATTGAGCTTGCTGTACATGCATAGCATTGGAATTGGAAGACAGGGGAGATCACATGTGCCCCCTCCCCCCCACCCCCCGGATTTCTGCCAGGGTGGGAGTTGGGCTGAGCAGAGCTGAAGGGACATGCCTGGGAAAGGTACCAGCAGTGAGTGCTCCCACTGAGCCCCACTAGGTGGCACCCAGAGCAGGGAAGCGAGACTGGGCTGGCAGCACAGCTCTCTGCCAGAGGAGGTGCAGAGAAGCCTGCTGAGTCCCATCCCTTCCTTGCTGGCAGACAGCCGCACTTACCTGCTCGAGTACGTATCTGGACTATCCTGGGGTGTGCAGAAGGGAGCTTGGGGAGTCAGTTGGAGCAATGGGGGGGAGAGGAAGCAGGATCCAGGGGTGGCAGCAGGGGCAGGGTGATGGTCATGAGTGGGTGGGGAGTCCAGGGAGGTGATGGGAGTGTGGGTGGGAAGTCCGGGGAGGCAGTGGGGGGCCAGAGGGGATTGGGGGACTGGGAGAGGCATCAGGGGCCAGAGGCAATGCGGAGGGGTGGAGGTCCGGGGGAAGGCATCGGGGCCAGGAGAAGCAGTGGGGACCAGGGCGCCAAAATACAAGTTTGCCCAAGGCGCCATTCTTCCTAAGGATGGTCCTGCAAAAGCCGGCCTTAAGGGTGGGCAACGTGTGCAACCGCCCAGGGTGCCATGGTCAGGGGGGCAACTTGGTGAAGAGGGTGTTGCTGGATGGTGCCTTGGCAGTCACCAGGAAGTTGATGGTGGTGATGGGTGGCCTGTCATGTCCCCACACTATCAGCAGTTACCAGTCACCAATGTGTATTCGCTGCTTGGAAGACTCCTTAGTTGAATAAAGCCTGGTCTTTGCTAGTATCTGTGAAATCTATGGGCTGGTTCCAATGCAATGGGAGTTTTTCTATTGACTTCAGTTGGCATTGGATCAGGACCTGTATGTCTTTGACATTCTTTAATTTGAAAGGACCTTGCCTGAATAATTGCAAATTACAGGACCACTGGTTCCATAAACCAAGAATCTAGTCACAAACAATTAGGGGCTATGTTCTGCCGCACTTACTCATACTTTGTAATACCTTCCTCCTCAAGTAGTTGAAATGAAAAATAGGATCTGTTTTGTGACCCATTAACAGTTGGTCAGTACAAAATGCAAGTACGGTATCTTTCGAAGGACAAAAGTTAAATCATTATATATTTCAAATTTCCCTACCCTGCCTTTTTATGTTTCAAAAATAACTGAGAAAGGGGGTGTGAGTGGTATTCAAAGAGAGGTTGAAAAGGCTTATGGGGGTTAGAATGGGGAAAAGATAGAAAAATTATAACAGATCTATATAACAGTGACTGGTCTAGAGAAGTCCAAAAAGATGTTCCTTATTATTAAGAAGAACAAGAGACCTCCCAATGAAAGGAACAGGGAACAAAATACAAAGAATATACAAGAAAATTTCTTCTTTATGTAATATATGGAACTCACTGCCATAAGATATTATTGAAGCACTGAATGCAGTAAGACTATAAATAGGAAGAGCATCTGTAGTTACAACAGCTTGAATGAAATTACAATGACCATCTGTCATGTTTCAGGGTATAATTACTGAATGGTATTAGAAAGTAATCATGCCTCCGTGGTATGGTACTGCACAGTTTTCCAGGTGCAGGGGTTTTGATTTCTTCTGAAGCACCTAGTACAAGCTCATGTGATTCCTATATTCCTACCTGGATGCAGGATGATATTTTGGTTTTTGCTGTCTTGTTTGGAAAGCTAATTCAACTTCCCTGCTGATATCTGGAATTTCATAAATAAGAACATATTATTCCTTCTCACATGTAAATTGCACAGCACTAAATACAAATAAGAATGCATCTAATCACAGTAATGAAAGGAAGGAAATTAATCTATATTCATGCATACGAGAAAGTGATTCAGTAAAAAAGCTAATGGGCCAAATTCATCCCTGACATAAATGGGCTAAACTATTGTCATCAATGGGAATAATTTATTCCAGGGCTGAATGGCATATAGTTTACAAGGTAACGTCATAAGCTTTCCTGATATCAAACATCGAGTAATGTAAAGGTAAGTAATGCAAAATGCTCCCTAGAAGAATACAAAATATCATTCTCTCCCTTTAACAGATGGGTGGAATTAATCCTCATGTTAATGGGATCAATGCTGTTGTTTTATTAAGTCAATGAGAATTATGCCATTGACCTCAAAGGGAACAGAATCAGGCCCCCCAAAAAGTAAGGAACTCTGTCATACGGAGGAATAAATTGCAGGGAACGAACAATGTATCTTCTTGTTACTTTGAAGTATTTATGCTTTTCAGGTAGGAATTTCAAAGCCCCCTAAATGAGAGGGGCACCCAAATCCATTAGAATTCAATACAAGTTGGACACTTGGGGGCAAACTTTTAAAGGTATATAGGGGCCTAGAGAGACAGATAGACCATTAGTGTGATTATTAAAAACCTAACTTCCACTGAAATCAATGGAAATTAGCTGCCTAGTTGCTTCTGTAAATCTCACTATGTGTGCCCATCTACATCTTTAGGTATCTAAATGTCTTTGAAAATCTGGCCTGTGGCTCCCCTTCAGAAATCCAAGCCTTAAATTAGATTTGACATGAGAGATAAGTGTGATACTGTTGTTACACGGAAAGATTTTGTTAGTTCCATTTTAGAGTCCTTCTCCAGATAAGCTTTCCATCACTATGCAGGTATTCTAAACCTCTCTCTTCTCAATAGTTGTATACATGAAGGCTGTAGTTTAATACTCTACTTTTATGCATCCTCCACTATGAAATTTTGGCCATCACTTTCATTCTAAAAGAAGTAATGGGAATATAAGATCAGACCCTCGGCTGCTGTAGACCAGCACTGAACTCAAAAGATGACACCAATTTACCCTATCTGAAGATTTGGCCCAGAATATGTTGCTCTTACAATAAGAAGGAAAACACAGGGAATCTGCAATATACAGTTAAGTACTAACCTCTTCCTTTTCCAAGTGCCTATATAGAATGATAAAATAGATAGTGAATATTGGAAGCTTTCAGTGACAATAATATACTATTTTTTATATTTGTTTACTCCATCTTCTTGTTACCACAGTACAGATGTGATTTAGCATACCTCACTTGGGCCAAATATAATACTTGGTGAGTCAGATGCATGCAGCTACATTAGAGACACACCAACCATGAATTTGGTCCAATGATCTTTATTCAGTGAAGTGATTGGGGGAATTTTGCCATTTCTTGACTGAGAGCAAGATAAGGAGTAATATTTCAAATCATCCTCAGTGGGCAGTGATCCAAAGTCCATTGAAATAACTGGGAGTCTTCCCATTGACTTCAATAGAGCTGGATTAGGCCGTTAGTATTAGTAACTAGTAGAATTTACCCTCTATATATATCTTATGTGATGAACAACATACTCATAGATTCATTGATTACAAGGTCATAACGGACAATTGTGATCATCTAGTCTGATCTCCTGCATAACAAAGGCCATAGAACTTCCCTGGATTCCTGTTTGAACTAGAGCAGATCTTAGAAAATCATGATTTAAAAATTGGCATGATGGCTGTATCCATATATGGATATGAATGTATATATATAAATGACAGGTTTACTTTGATATAAACACAAGCTAAATTTTGATCTTAATTCCACTGAAATCACTGAACTTTGAATTTATATAGTGGTATAACTAAAAGCATAGTTTGTCCCGGTAATGAGCTCACTGAAACAGTGGATCAAATTCTGCTCACAGTAACAACATTACAACCTTTACGAAGTCAGTCATGTTGCACCTGTGTAACTGAGAGTAGCACTTAGCCAGGTGTTTCCATAATTAATCTTCCGTTAAATCAAGCACTGAAATAGAATGCCATTTCATTCAAAATGTATTGTATGAACAGTATTGACCAGGACATACTGTGGTACAAAAATTTAAACAATAATAATTACTATAATAAACATAATGGATCAAATTCATCCCTGGAGTAATTCCATTGAAGTCAGTAACATAAATTAATAGTAAAGAAAAGATAAAACACTCTACAATCAGTATACACCTTACACTTTGAATCTTAATTAAAAATTACTTCTTAACTACATTTTCTCATTGCTCGTAAATGGATAAGGGTTTATAGTCACACTATCTGTGCCATAGGGGCTATATTAATACAGTGTAATCTAATTTGAAATCTCTTCTTTTCATATTGTGCGACACTCAACATTTGTCCTGAAAATCTGGGCTGGTCTTCATTTACAGCACTACAGTTTACACCAGTGCAGCTGTGTCACTGTAGTGGTTAGTGAAGATGCTACTTCACTGTTGGTGTAGTTAATCAACCTCCCCAAGAGGCGGTAGCTATGTTGATAGGAGAAGCTCTCCCGTTGACATAGCGCTGTCTACACTGGGAGTTAGGTCAGTATAACTAAGTTGCTTAGGGGTATAGATTTTTCACACCCCCGAGCGACATACTTATATAGATCTATAGTGTAGACTTGGCCTCTGCTTTTTAAACTTACATATGAATATTCTTGCAACAATATTAGTGTGGCTGTCAAGGGTGCAAGTAGAGTAGGTTAATTACTGGAATTATGTGTTGTGGAATGGAATATGGAATGTGTTCCCATTTGTTGTTAATAATATATTCATTACTAATTTCTGTAATGAGTCAAAATATCAAAGAAAAGCCAGAGCAAAAAATATTAACATCTTTTTCTTTCTTGCCAACATGTCAGTTCTGAATGTTAGACATCAGTAAACTGCTGTAATAAGTAACTGTATTGTAACCTGTTTTGTAATAATTCAGCAAATGTGGAGTCCATAAAAATATATTAGCTACTTTTAAAAATTAATCCTATAGATAATTGAGGTTGGGTAAACTCCATATGGATAACATAAAAAATGATCATTTT